ATCGTTATTAAATTAAAAACTTATAGACTATTTATGTTTTCTCTTCTTTTTATCTTACATGACTATTGAAGGTAATAGTTTAGGAAAAAAAACTCTTAATATTGCATGATCTTTGGATGAGTGATTAGCAATCATAGGAAAACTGAAATTAGAATTAACATAAAAGAGAACATAAACAATTGTAAAGGTAAAACCATACACCTTAAGTTCTTCTTGATTAATTTATTGTCAAAGGTTGGGCTATTTTAAATTCTATTTTAATCACTTTCATATTTGAATTCTCATTTTATTTAATTTCATTTTCTTTAAGTTCAAACAATTAATTAATAAATTCTTATTAATTAGAAACAATCCTTGTGGAATGATATTTTGAGAACTTATTTTAGAACTCTTTATTACTTTTCGACGGATATATTTACCCACAAACATTAAACAACTACAACGAAGTAAAATGAGACTAATCTAAATGAAAATAAATCAAAGTTTCAACATCAACTTCAAGAAGTACAAGTCTCCGCCAAATATCACTTATGTCTTAATCTAATTTCCTTATCATGTAAGGAGTACCTTGAACTTTTCTATATCATGTAAAAGTACTACTTGTGGAATGAATGTAAACAAATTATACTACACTATTTTGGCAAAAAGGTTAAAAAAAAACAACACTTTGCTAAAGTTCTCAATTACTGCCCAAGGTATATTCAACCTATAACGAAGGTCACACGTATGATCCTAAATAAAGTGAATGGACAAGCATTAATTACATTCAAATCCAAATTTGACTGGCTATATGAATTTCTAGAACAATCACATGCTAGATATATAAATTGTTTTTTATTATCCATAGAAAAATTAAAGATTGCATAATAATCTCGAGAGGTTTGGTAGAGAAATTTTTAACCATATATCCATAGCACTCACAAAATCAACATATAACATTCTATACCACACTAATGATCAATAAGATCAACCACATCAACACATACTTAAATAGATTTACTTCCATATAATAATATGCAAGTATGTGTTGACGATGGTCAATAACATGGACTAGAATCTCTAAAAATATTGAGAGTAGCAGAATATATGAAATATGATTACTTAGAAGATTTTAGAGACTGAGTGCAACTACAATCACAACAGAATAAGTCACTCACTACACTAGTAGTTAGTTAAAGATCCATTTTTTTATAGGTAATGAATGTAGTCATACCTCATACACACCTCTATCACACACGTAGTCCTATAGGCATCATTTTCTTCCTTTGCACTTGTATATAAAGACTACTATTCAAAGCAATAAAACTTGAGATGTATATTCAGTATCACTCCATCGATTCCTAATTCTATTATGGTAATCAGAGCTTTGGTGTTTCTCTGTTTTGTTTCACCATGACTAGAAACCATAACCAAACATCTTCATCCTTATGAATTTTCTCACCCCCAACCTGTTAGTTATTTTAACGTGTCAATAAACAGTCCTATTTTATAGGACTGATTGGGTCTGGTTAGTTGCTTAGTTTACGCCTAGATTGCTGCCATGCAGTTTTGTGATTTTTGTTTTTATTGTTATTCTGTTTTGAGAATCAAGTCTGTAAGGCTTATAAAGCTATTTTCAGATGATTGAATAAAGTGTGCAATCTCTTCACATATTCAGTGGGTTATTCGTGTATATTTATTAAGTTTTAACAATTGGTATCAGAGCTTTGCAAGGGGCCTGATCCGGGGTGAGTGAAGAGAGCATCTTGATCTAGAGTGTAACGCTAATACAACCATGTAAAGCCATGACTATCTCAGAGAAATTTGTTCAACCAGCTATTCCAAGGTTTGATGGACACTATGACTTCTGGTCCATGACTATGAAAAATTTCCTATGCAGCAAAGAACTATGGCAGCTTGCGGAAAATGGAATACCAACTCTTGGTGCAACACCCACTAAGGCACAAAGGAGGAGTGTAGCTGATGCACAACTAAAGGATCTAAAGGTGAAGAATTTCTTGTTTCAAGCTATTGATTGAGAAATTCTTGAAACAATGTTGGACAAAAGCATGTCACAGGCAATCTGGAGATCCATGCAACAAAAATATCAGGAATCAATGAGGGTCAAACGTGCTCAACTCCAAGCTCTTCGACGTGAGTTCAAACTACTAGCGATGAAAGATGGCGAGAAGGTTGATAGCTACCTGGGACGCACACTCAATATGGTTAACAAAATAAGATCTAATGGTGAAGTAATGGATTCCGGCACAGTGGTTAGCAAGATACTTCAACTATGTAGTATGTTCTATCGAGGAGTCCAACGACTTGAACACTCTAAGTCTTGATGAACTTCATGTCAGTCTGCTTGTTCATGAACAATGAATGCAGAGTTCTCAACCAGAAGAACAAGTCCTGAAAGTTACGCATGATGATAGAGCAGGAGCCGGTCGTGGTCGTGGCCACAGAAACTGTGGGCGTGAGAGAGGTCATGGAAGATAGCCTTTCAACAAGGCACTCATTGAATGTTTTCAATGCCATAAGCTGGGCCATTTTCAGTATGAATGCCCTGGAGTTGCGAAACAAGCCCATTACATAACGTTTGAAGAGGCAACTGAAGTCGAGAGTGAGATTTTGTTGGTAGCATATGAAGAGGTGACACATCTTGTTCAGATGGAGGATTGGTTTCTAGATTCTGGTTGCAGTAATCATATGACAGGAAATAAGCTCTAGTTCACAGAAACACATGAAGAAGAACTCCATAAAACTGTCAAGCTCGGTAATGATACTATACTGGAGGTAGCTGCCAAAGGAAGCATTTGGATTTAGATCAATAATATTGCTCATGTTATTTAAGATGTTTATTACATTCCAGAACTCAAGACCAATCTCTTAAATTCAAAAGCCCTTTCTCATAAAAGTACATATATTTTAAATAATCTCTCTCCTTCTGAGTTGTTATATACTCCCAAATATGAGAATTTCAAGCCTTTTGGATGCTTTTGTTATATATCACTTTAAAGCAAAGGTGTTGCAAATTTGATCCAAAAGCATCATCTTGTATTTTTCTTGGTTTCAAATTAGGAGTAAAAGGGTACATTTTCTATGATATTACCTCTGGTGAGATCAATGACCTGAAATGCAATATTTTTTGAATTGGTCTTCTCTTTTCAGACGGCCCAACTCACGATTTCTAATAATTCCTTAATTCTTGTCCAAGAGCCTCTGCCCACCCCAGTTGATTCACCAACCTCTTTCTAGCCTACTTATGCACCTTCACCCTATATGAACCCCCATTCTCCACTGCTTAAACCCACTCACACATCCACCCATGATGCCACCACTGGACCTTCTTCACTATTTCCACCCACACAAGGCTCAATGTAACCAAAAGCACCCAAACGCATTAGAAGGCCTCCTTCATGTAGACAACATAATCTTAGCATGTGACTCCATGGCTGAATTTAATTATATCAAGCAATGACTGGACCATTATTTTAAAATCAAAGACCTTGGCCTTTTACGTTATTTTTTGGGCTTAGAAGTTTCTCTCTCGCATGGGAATATTTATCTCCTAGAGGCAATTTTGTCTTAACATCCTTAGTAAGGCTAGCTTCCTTAGGTCCAAATCAGCCGAAACACCAACTCTTGTGAGACTTCGTCTCGCTAACAATGGGGGCACTTTTACCATTATTTAGAGAGCTACTGACATCTCGTGAGAAGGCTCTTATACTTATCTACTACGCATCTAGACATTGCTTTTGCCACCCAACAACTTTCTCAATTCATGGCAACACCAACCAGTGACCATAACCATGTCGTTGTCCATCTCCTCTGTTACTTGAAAAGAAACCTGGGTTATGGCTTGTTATTTCGTCGCATTACTGCTCTCCATCTCCAAGGTTTTAGTGACGCTGACTGGGCTGGTTGCCTAAACACACGACAGTTTGTCATCTGGTATTATTTCTTCTTGGAGAATTTTTTGATTTGTTGGCAGAGTAAGAAACAAACTACTGTAGCTCGCTCATCATTAGAGGCATATTACCGTACTCTTGTTACAACCACTTGTGAGCTCTAGTGGCTTTCTGGTTTAAGACTTGCATCTTCATTAGTCCCAAACCCTAGTGCTCTATTGTAACAATTGCAGTGCACTACATATCGCGACAAATCCAATGTTCTACGAGCACACAAAGCATTTAGAAATAGACTATCATGTCTTTCTTGAATGTTCTCAAGTAGGGTTAATGAAGTTGCTTCCTGTACTTGCCTCAATGCAGGTGGTTGATATCTGTACCAAGGCCCTCACTTGGCCTTCACTTCTCTAGTTTTTGCCCAAGCTAAGGATGAAGGACATTTTCCACTCTCTAGCTTGTGGGGAGGAGAGATAATAAAGCACACAAAACATAATCACTTAGAAGATTTCAAAGACTAAGTGTAGTAACAATTGCAACATAATAAGTCATTCACACCCTCATACTCACCACACCAATAGTTAGTTAGAGATTCAATTTTTTTTTTTTTATAAATAATGAATGTAGTCATACCTCATGCACACCCATATAATATTATAAGCATAATTTTCTTTCATTACACTTGTATATAAAAACTACTCTTTAGAGTATAAAACTTGAACTCTATATTCCGTATCACTTAATGTATTTATAATTTTATTAGAGAGTATTAATGATGAACTTTATTTTTGTCATTTTTACTGTAACTTTACTAAAGAATATATTTAAAAAATTATGATTAATTAATGATAATAATGATGGTGTTAATAATAAAATAAATTAGTTTCTTTTGTTTTATGTTTATATTAAATAAATTATTAATTTTTTTATATTTTATAATACTATATATTTATATCTATATTTTATGCATGATGACGTCATCAACGTAGATAAGGTAAATGGATAAGAAAATCTGAAATCTCAAGAAAGTAAACAAAAGAAACATCAAAGCCATAGGCATATTAAAGTGGCACAACAACTGAAGACAGCAGACAACCACCCCAACCCCGAAATAACAGTGTCTGGTCTCACTTCCACATCTGCGAACGTGACTTTGATTAATTCCGTCTCTGCTCTTTAATGAGTTGTTCTTTTAATTTTAGACTATCAAATGATATACATATTTGAATAAATAAAAAAATTATTTACGTAAATAAATAAATAAGTTTCAAAGCTGATAAATAATATCACAGTAAATAAATAGCTAACAGGATATGCGAAGATAAGAATAAGATAGCGGAAGAAAAAGGGTTTTGCATCCTTTGTTGAGTTCAGAACTCGACATTTCCACGTTCTTCTCTCACCCATACAACGATGCAACTGTGCGAACTACTCTGATGGGTATGGCGACACGTGTCCCCTTTGTCTCCGCTGCCACTCTTCCTCCCAACCAATACCATAAATACTGCACTGTGGCACTGTCACTTCCTTTACCTGTTTCTTCATCCACATTAAGGCTTCTTCACTCTCCATTTTCTTCTTCATTGGCACTCAAGAACCACAAGAGTGTGAAGAGTGTTGGAACTAGATTCAGTGTTGTTGTAGCCATGGCAGAGTCTCCACAGAGCACTGTGCTTGTTACTGGAGCTGGTGGTCGCACAGGTTCACTCTTTTTCTTCTATGCTTTGTTGGGTTTTCTTCAAAATCCTTTTTTTTTTTCCTCTTCTTTTTTTCTGGATAAAGAAAGAGAAAAAAAAAAGGACCAGAAAATGACGTGTATCAAAAGACAATAGTTTTTTTTTTTTTTTTTAATTATAGCTTAATGTATGGAATTATATAATATCCTGTTATTTTCAATGAAAACTCGTTGTTTTTGAGCTTGCTAACATCTGTATATTGGTTAAGAAATTAATACACAATAAAATTTTATTAAAAATTATGATAGAATGTATTGAAAATATTGGGGTGAGTGGCATTTTACATTTTTTAATACTTAATCAGTGTCAGGTTAGCATATTTATTTTGTTGTTTTGAGTTTTGGTGAAAGTGAAAGGTATAGAATTTAAATGTGGGGTTTCTACTTTGTGGATTTCATGTGAATCTTAGTTGAGGTTCAGCAATTTACAGGTTGTTAGAATTTGAAGAATTTAGTGGTTGTGAATGTGGGTATATAAAAACATTTATGTAGCACTTGTATGTAATATATATTCACCAGTGATACAGTACTGAGCCTTCAGCTCGCAGATGGAAATGTGTGTTACTATGATAAAAATCAATTTTCAGAGGTTTTGTTTACAATAATCGTAGAGAATTGCAGTTGTTTGGATTTAATTTTGATGTACCATTCAGATTGACTTAAGGATAGTGTGTTGAATGTGTGGATCTACATTTTCTTCCCGTAAAATCTTGTTACATTTGTTTCAAGTAGTTAAGATTGTTGGCTGATGTTGGATTATAAATAAACAATTCTTAAATTATGAATGATTCTTTCTGGCATAACACTTGTGATTGCAAACTTTCTCTTAAATGGTCACATTGTCAAGATGTCAAGTTTCAAGGCTTCATTCACGTAATTGTAACTAAATTTTTAAGACTAACTTACCTGAAAGTTGGATTATGTTATATATTCTGAGTTCTGACCACAATCTATAACTCTGTCTTTGATAGCACAATTAGAAGAGATAGTTGTATCTAGCTGGTATTTGCTTTTTCAAGTGTCAAACAATATATTTTATCAGAATTTTTTTATTTTAATGGGTCATATATATGTGCCTACTAATTATAAGATATATATTTTTCTTTGGCAAGAACATAACACCCTTGACCTATGATTTGCAAAATGTCACACTGTTATCTTTCTGGTCAATCTAATTTTAATTCACGACTACATGCATTCATTGAAAGTAGCCAAAATAGGATAGATACTATGCCTTTTTATCACTAATTGAGAATGTTGTTACTTTTCAGGACAAATAGTTTACAAAAAATTAAAAGAGAGGCCAAATCAATATGTGACTAGAGGTCTTGTTAGAACAGAACAAAGCAAACAAAACATTGGTGCTGCTGATGACATTTTTGTTGGGGATATAAGAGATGCTGGAAGTATTGTTCCTGCAATTCAAGGTATAGATGCTCTCATAATCCTCACAAGTGCAGTGCCACAGATGAAACCTGGTTTTGATCCTACGAAAGGACAAAGACCAGAGTTCTATTTCGAAGATGGTGAATATCCTGAACAGGTACTAATACATTTTATGTATGTTATGCTTAAGTAACTTTTTACATTTATATCCTTTTTATTCATATTTTGCTGATTTTTACATGTTAGGTAGACTGGCTTGGGCAGAAAAATCAAATAGATGCTGGTTAGTACCCAAGACTTTTTCCATTAATCATAAATAATAGTTATTTGTGATATTGAAGTTATTTTTTAACTATTTGAACAGCTAAGGCTGCAGGAGTGAAACAGATTGTGTTGGTAGGGTCCATGGGTGGAACAGACATTAACCATCCTTTGAACAGCTTGGGGAATGGAAATATATTGGTTAGTAATGTTTTTTTCATTACTTCTTACCGAAGTACCTCCTTCTGTAGCATTCTGGCCTTGCTTTTATTCTATTAGAGCCTGAATTTCATTTTAAAGCAGAACGAACATTTGGTACAAAGATAGCATCTTCTTGCTTTGCCTGTATCCTTCCATTATTCCTCCCTTGATATGAAGATTATATTTTCATATCGATTGCAGGTTTGGAAACGGAAAGCTGAGCAATATCTGGCTGATTGTGGCATCCCATACACAATTATAAGGTACACCAATTCCTTTCTATACCAAGATTTAAGGATTCCTAGGTTCTATTCTGTTTTTTCCCCCCTATGTGTGCTCTTTAAAATGATTAATCTATCAAATTTTAGACTGCTTGACCATTACCTTGGAATTTATATTTCCAAACCTTAGTTGCACCACCCCCATTCTTTCTATCAACATTATTTATATTTCCGAACATTTCCTTCCATTGATTTGGGTGGAACACCTTTAGAATTTTTGGTATTAATTTCTGAATAATAGAAGGAAATGTTTATAGGTTTAATTGTGAAAATGAATGTTATCATGTTGTGATCTTGAGTTTTTATTAATACTTGTTCAATGTATGCCTTGTATATGTTTTTTTAAAACTTATTCCTAAATTACAAATGATAGAAGTATCTTCTTCCAGAGTGTATATCACTTAAAGGCTTGTCTTTTCTGGGTTGAATAGGAAACAGAAGTGAAGATTGGTAGGACTGAAAAACAAAAAGGACTCAATGCACCTTAGGAATCCACCTATTTATACTAGTAGTGAGTAAACTCACTACTTACAACCATCACCAAGGCACCCATTTATGCTAGTAGTGGTGCAAGCACTGTATTATAAGAATGATAATTTTCTCTTTTCTGTATACGTCTTTATAAACTACCCACTTTTCTAGCATTGGAAACTAGAGAGTAGAGACTATATTTCCTGAAAGACACCTGACAAAGGAATTCAAAGACTAGTCAAAAGAGCACATGACAAGTGTATTATACATGCAACTAGAATTCTCCATCATTTTCCTCTGGTTGAAAAAGTTGAGCTCTTCTTTTTTTCTTCATATGAAGATGACAAGTTTGAGATGTAGAAGATTGGTAATACAGATTGAACTCCTAGAAATGTGTAAAGTGAAGCTTTATCCACTTTTGATTTAAATTAAAGTATTTTATAAATATAATTGACGTAAAATCAATAGGGGATAGACTCTTACTTTATCACTGTATGCATTTTCTCATTTTAAAAGAGTCAAATCCATGGTAATATTCTATGTTAAGATCTCATATCGTCTATAAATATGGCTAAAGTAGAGCTTATAAAGGATAAAACAAACCTCCTTTTACAATTAGATTTTGAGGTTGAGTTAGGCCAAAGTCTACTGATTTTTTCAGTGCAATTAACTTGGCCCTGTGGATTTTCCTGTGCAATCTCTCTGGTTTTACAACTTTCCTAGTACAATATAAAAAAATAAAAATCTATCCTATAGCTTCTATGCATTAGATGTCTAATATTTATTGAGTGTGATGGTGTGTGTTGAGATCACACATTAATTATAGATATCTTCAAAGTATAGTTTATAAAAGTTAAGACAATTCTCATTTTACTAGTAAGCTCTTAGAGTTGAGTTAGGCCTTCGACCAAATTTAAGACTCCATAATCTCCTGGTAACTTGATTTTGTTTACATTTCTCTTCAGACCCTAGAAGGGCCGTTAGCTCTGGGCATGAGCTTCCCAAACCATCCTTCTAGAAATCATTCTTCTTGACAATGAATCCACTCAAGATCTCCTTTGTTATAACTTGTTGGGTTCCCAAATCTTTCAGCTATTATTCTTTTTATTTTTTTGAAAAGTATTGTCTCAAACCTTCTGGTGTAGGCATGGAATTTCATTCTGTCTCTTTTTAGCATCCCTGCAGAAGAATGATAAAGCTGAATAGGAGTTAAGCTTCTCAAGCTAATAGGATTAGCATAGCATATACCACCTCAAATGAACTTTTACTCAATTCCTTGCTTTGAGCAATTGTAGCCAAATTTTTCTTTTGGCAATTGAAGACCCCATTGTCTAACATTCCTCTCACTAGTGATCTTAATAAATTACCCACTCTTTGATTGACACCTTGTGATAGGAAACCCCTAATTAGGAAGGTCTATGCTAGAAGAAATAAGACAACAGAGAGTCAAAACTAATTGTAACTGTCATAACAGCTGCAACCAATGCATTGGTTGTAGATGTTTGGCAGGAAATCAGTATAGTATAAATAAAGGAAAGGGAAAATAGATCATCTGGTGCGATCATTGTGTTTTGGAGAGACTGGCCTCTCAGAAGAGTCAAATTTGTGTACTGTCATTCCTTTTGAACTATTTCCACATTGGTATTAAATTAGGGATTTTTGTGAGCAATAGCATGTTCTTTGTGATACTGATACCAGTTCGTACAGCGGTATCAAAGAGTTTGCCCTTTAGTTTGTGGCTGATGGGAGGAACTGAATTGAAGGGTAGTTCCAAGCTTCTTTTATAGAATTCACCAAAATGAGACTTAATTTCATATATAATCGGAGGTGATAATTTTTGGAATGCCATGAAGCTTGACAATCTCCTTGAAATAAAGATCAGCAGTGTGACATGCATCTAAAATTTTAAGACATGGAACAAAATGTGCCATTTTAGGGAAATCTACTTCTACCAAATGTTAACTGAATCTTTGTTCCTTTGAGTTTTTGGCAATCCTAACATTAAATCAATATTAACATCTTTTCATGGTGCAAAAGGAATTGGAAGTGAGGTATACAAACTCGTGTTTAGCATGACCCTTGATATAACATGTTCAACATCACTCCACATGTCTAGTAATATCAGAAATCAAGTTAGGCCAATAAATATTTGCTTGAATAACAGAAAGAGTCTTGTTTTGCCCAAAGTGGTCACCAAGACCTTCACCATGTGTTGCTTTCATTATTGCTTCACGTAAGAACACTGGGAAATGCATAATCCATTATTCATGAAAAGTAAGCTATTTTGTAAAAGGAAATCTTTAGAAGTGCTTTTACATCAGTCACTCCTAATCTAAACATATGACTCTTATAGAATTCATTAAGGACTTAAAATTCAATCATACTGTTAGGAACCAGAAATAAAACAGTGGAAAACTGATAATTTTATTCAATTGAACCCGCTCAATGAGCTATTACAAGCAAGAAAAGACTCCAGAGCAGAATGCTCCTCCGAGGAGCAAGCTAACTAGGATTTATGCCAAAAAAACTCACTCACTATGCCCTACTCTCTTTATAACCTACTCTACTCCCTCCTAGGATTTATGCCAATACACAATTAACTCTTCCAACTCGGTGAACCATGACACAATTTCTTCTTCCTAAAACCTTCCAAATCTTGAGCCTCCTTGACTCCTAGTCCAATAGTTGGTACTGGTCTAGGCCTTCAACCATATCCCTTTCTCTCCTCCATTGAAGAGATCAATGGGTATCTTCAACCCAATGCATCAGCAACTTGATTTTGATTACTTGCCTTGTGTTTGATCACAAAGGAATAGGGTTGTGGGAACCCTACCCACTTTGTATGCCTACTATTGAGCTTGTGTTGTCCAGTGATGTATTTAATGCCTCCTGGTCTGAAAATAAGATGAATTCCTTTGAAATGAGATAATGCCCCCAATTTGACAAGGTTTGAATGGTGGTGTAGAATTCCTTAGGTTGAATTCTTGATCCATTCAATTTTGTCACTGAAGTAGGAAATTGATTTTCCTTCCTGGGCAAGAACAGCATCAATTCATATATGTGAAAACATCACAACGTACTCCAAAGACTTTCTTGAAGTTGGGTAATGTGAGAACAAGTGCTTCTATCATTCTCTTTTTGAGTTACCTCAGTTCACTTAAATGTTATTGCTTTTATGCATTTGGTGATAAGGCAATGACAATGCTAAACCCCTAAATGAATTGCTGCTAGAAAGATATTAGATATGGAAGCTCTGAAATTCATGGAGAGAATTTGTTGAAGGCCATAGATTAATAGCCTGAACCTTAGTCGGATCTGTGCTAATTCCTTCACAAGAAATACAGTTTATACAAGTATTGTTCATCCACAACCTTACAGACTTTCAAATACGTTACCAGTGTTCTCTGCTATTGCTATAGATCAATATATCGTCAAAATAGATAATCACAAATTTTCCAATGAAATTTTTTAACTCAACTGGAAGAGAAAATTGGAAGGACAAGAAAACAACACAACTCAATGCACCATAGGAATTCAAAAGAGATCTATATGTCAAGATAGAGATTAGTAAATTCAATCCTAAGTTGCAAGAGGAAACAGTGATTCACTCAAATTGACTTGCTTACAACCATCACCTAAGCACCTATTTAATACTAGTACTGGTGCTATCTCCCTCTCCAAGCATCTTTCCTTCTTTTTGAATACTAATTTATTGATTGCACAATTTTCTAGCATTTTAAACTATAAACTTCTTTCTCCAAAGACATGACAAATGAAATCAAAGACTAGTCAAAAGACGTTGGGAGGGAGAGCTTTGTGCCCTTAAATGGCTTAGACTAGTTGGGGTCCAATGTGACTTTCAGATACCGAGGATCTAAAACCAAAAACAAAAAGACTAGTCAAAAGAGCGCTTGACAAACATACTGCTCTAAAATTCTCCATCAACTTAGACAGTAATGTGAATGTGAAGCATTGATAACCATTGATTTTATCTTCAATGGTTAGTAATTTAATAAAATACATGCACATAGATGAGAAAATCTATCACCATGATTTTGTGATAAACTGTTACCTCCTTCAATTTACTCTCCAGACTACATCAGAGATCCAATCCATATTACTTCTAATATCTCAATAGAACTTTTGTCTAATGCTTTGAACAAGACTTCATATCCAAAGCACAGGAACAATCTGACTATAAGTCATTCAAAAATTGTTTGTGTTATGCTTTGCAATATAGCTGTAATCATTTGTTTATTTACCTACTACCTTTAATTACATGACTACTTATCTTCAATATACTATTTAATTATTTTTAATATTTAGAGGTCACTTGTTTTCAATATTCCTATTACAAATGACTGAGTAATTGTCTGAGGACGGGCTTTTATTATGAACATGCTGGAAATTTTTCTCTCTTGTTTTTTACTTTCGCAGCTTTTCTTACTTTCTATATTTTGAGTTAGGGCTGGTGGCTTGCAAGACAAAGATGGAGGAGTTCGGGAACTCATTGTTGGGAAGGATGATGAGCTTCTTCAGACTGAAACCAGAACCATACCCAGAGCTGATGTTGCAGAAGTCTGCATTCAGGTATCTTATTATTATTATTATTATTTTTAACTGTGTGTGTTGCAACAAATAAAGCTCCACCCCCATGATAAAGGAAAGAATTCCAGTATATCTAAAATTTGTAAGTTTTTATTGGCAAATAAAACATTTATTACACTTTTGTATTATAAATGTGATAAATACTTATTTTTTCAATAAAATCAGACCATTATTAGAGGCTTGAAATCAATCTTATGGGTTGATGTTGATATTTTCTTTTTTTTTAATTCTTGCTCAACTCTGAGATTTGGATGGCCCTTCATTCAATTGGTTTAACAGGCTCTAAATTTTGAGGAGGCTAAATTTAAGGCATTTGACTTGGCATCAAAACCTGAGGCAGCAGGTTCAGCAACAAAGGACTTCAAGGCTTTCTTTTCCCAGATCACCACTCGTTTTTGATATTGGATGTCTTTATTTATCGTGCATTTGGGATTGAACCATATTGCTATTAGTGCTATCTAAAGCAAATTTACACGTGTCTTGCCAATTTAGTAAGAGATTCTTGAAAGCAAGTTATAAACTTAACTAGCACTGCACCACAAGCCTTGATAAAAACTCGTGTCTACTTATCAGTGCATCAGTTCACTCTATGAAGTGTAATTGTCTGCAATCCCCTTGACACTGAATGAGTATTTTATTTCATCTTGATTCAAGCCATTATAAGGTTATTAGTAAAAATTACTGATCATTTTTAGTTTTTATTTAACAGTGTCATAATGACGGATTAAAATGTGACAAATAAACTGATTTGTAAATAGATGTTAACTATTGAAGATCAAATCTGTATTTTAACCTGAAAGTTAATTAGTTTTCTTGGGGACAAAACTGAAAACTCAATCATGACCCTTCATGCTTACTGATTCGTAGCAGTGATCAACCTTCAAGAAAATACATTGCTGATAATAGGTACTACTATAATTGCAAACCGATTCCCTTGTTGGAAGCACATGCATTCTAACACTGGCCCATGTGAACAACAATTTAAGTGGCAGAAAAAATATTTTGGTTCTCTATCCAATCATAGAATGTACACCACTTAGAATCTTAATTGTCACTTCTCTATTCATTTTACTACAAAGAAAAATGATAGAAACATACTTCTTTTAAATATGCCTTTTGTTATTGGTTCATATTTTATAATGTCGAAGTACTTATAAATTGATTGTTTTTTCAAAATTTTCTTGACTTCTTATAGAATTGACTAATCATAAAAAGTATGTTAAAAAGTATCTTTAAAGGAGTGTATTGTCCGCATTACAAATGGCTCAATTAAATTCTAAAAGTAATTCATCAAGAAGTTTAGGGTTGATTTTGAATATGCTCCCTGCAAGGTTTGGAGCATTCATGCACGTTGAATTTTTACTGGCTATCGTAAGTAACTAGATTTCAGCCGATTTTAAAATGATTATATTTAAATCGTAATTTAGTTAAACATTTTACACTGAAATCTTTCTCAAACTAACTAACATATTTATTTTAATAAATATTTATTTGACATTTAAAAAATTATGCTTAAATAAAATATTTAAAGATTTAAGTTAATTACTTTTTACCATTTAAAGGAAGAACTTATTATTAAGATAATAATAATAATAATAATAATAATAATATTATTATTATTATTATTATTATTATTATATTTTTATAATATATTAATGTTATTGAATTTAATTTTTTAAACATAAATTTATAATCATTTCAGAGCTTTAAGTCATTTTGTTTGTAATTTTTACTTTAGAATATAAAATAATTTGTTATTGATTTGATTTGTTTAATCGTTTTCTTTTATCATTTTTATCTTTTACTTTTACAATATAACTTTATTATTATTTGTTTTTTATTAACATAGTAGCATAGTAGTTCTTAATATTTAATTTATAATTTAATGTTTTATTTTACAATATTATTCAATTATGTAGTACATTATGATATGTGAAAAAGATTATGGACAAATAAAATATAGTAAAAAAATGTTAAAAGAATAAAATAAAAAATACTGATAGACCTCCCTAAATTTACATATATTCTTGATGATTACTAAATCATACTATTAATTCTTGTCTTTGTAATTACAGTAATAATTATTCAGCACAATCATTCTAAGAATATTTTTTATTTACTGTTTTTAATGTTAGAATATATTTTTTCTTCTGCATTGATTTATTTTAAAGATTATGATATAACTTGTTACTATTTTGAACTTTCAAATATGATCTTATTATTATTCATATCTTTATGATATTATTTTATCAAAATTTATTTATACTAAAAATTGATTAATATTCTTTATATACAATTTTTATTTTAAATATATTTTTCCAACTTTTAAACATTATATGTTATTTTTATTAATTTAATATTAATGCTGAAATTACCAGCATGACTGATAATTTTGTTGAAATAATTGTAGCATACATATTTTTATTATTTTATTAGCTTATAATATGGTAGGTTTTCAGCTTGTAAAATTATAGAATATAATATTATTTATATAACATGTTAAGATTAAATACTCCACTTGTGATTGATTAAAGTATCAATAATAAAATTAATTTAGGAATAATAAATACAATGTGACTTTCGATAATAATTTAATGAGTATAATATAGATAACTTATAATATTATATTTATATTAGGCCATTCATAACTAATAATACTCATTTATATTAGTTTGTCAATACGTAATGATGTTAAGTTTAAGGTACATTTAATAATAAAATTTTTAAAATAAAAGTTTTAAAATTTTGATAGAATTTATTTTGTATTTATTCTAATGATGAGTATGTTAGTCTTTCATTATCTTTTTTTCTTAAACTCTCCAAAAGAAAAGTAAAATAAATTTTCTGAATCTCATTTTAGAAAAAAAATAGAAATTACTATTTTTGGCACGGACAGTTATAAGGCCTTTTAGAATTAATAAATTTTAACCATTTTTTTATAAATGTTATTGGAAAGTAGTTGAGGATGACGTATGAAGATTGGTAATAAATATTTTTTAGTTTTGTTTTGCAAACTCCTATTTGATGCATACTTCCATTATTCTCATTCTTAAAATTGACTGGCTACTATATATTAAGGACTCTCAATCTATAAGCATGTGTAATGTGGTTTATAAGGTCATCGCTAAAGTTCTTGTTAATCGTCTTAAATATTTCTTAGATGATTTGATATGTCTACTTCAGAGTAGTTTTACCCTAGGAAGAGGAAACAAAGATTGCATTGGTTGTTTAGGAAATTTTGAACTACAAACATAGAAATAAAGCTAAAAAGAGAATAGTGACCATGGAGATTAATCTAGAGAAGGCTTACAATAATATTAGTTGGAATTTTCTCCAACAAACTCTTATTGAATTTGATATACTAGGTCATATTGTGTCTTTTATCATGTAGTGTATACAATGAGAAGTCTTAGAAAAGAGAATAATCTTTCCTCTCAATTCTTTGCATGGAGAAACTTTCTTTATTAATAAATCAAAACCTAGAGGAGAAATTATGGAAACCTATTCATCTATCCAAGAATAACCCCAATGTCACTCATCTTTGATTTGTTGATGATGTCTTTTTATTTTTGTGAAGCTGAAAACACACAACTCCAAAATATTATTACAGTGATGTAAAAATTTTGTGATGTCTTTGACCATAGGATTAACTTCAGCAAATCCAAGGCAATGTGTTTGAAAATGGTCCCTCGCTAAAAGTGTGATTTTTTTTATGGTTTCACTTCCATTCATTTTGTTATAGATTTAAGAACATACCTTAGCTTTTCATTGACTAAAGATAGACTAAATAGAATAATTTTTTCTCTTTTATTTGAGAAAATTCATAAAAGGGTGACAACTTGGAAAAAAAAACTACTTAATAAAGCTGGTAAATTATACTTGACAAAATTTGTCTTAACTTCTATACCTATTTATCTCATGCAAATTTAAGGTTACCTCAATCTATTTGTCATGATATTAATAAGGTAGTTAGAGATTTTATTTTGTGTTCTAATGATTCAAATCATGACATTCATCTAGTTGTCTGAGACAAAATTATCTCTCCTAAGAAACATATGACTTAAGTGTTTGAGATATGTGAATGGTTAATATTTCTCTTATAAGAAAATTGATGTAAAATATTTTTCATGATAAACCTAAATTATGGAAAAAAAAAAACATTTTGAAGCTCTGTAGTATTTTGAGAGATGGTTTAAGTTTTAGCTAAATTTTGGTTATTATTTGGTATGGTACTTTGATTGGACTAGATTAAACCCAATTGCTAACTTAGTTGATTTTGTTTACATCTCAAATACAACATTCCAAGTTAATGAGTTGTTTGTTATAGCACTTGAAAATTAGACTAGCTCGTCACCTATATTCCACAACACATCAAAGCCCATACATACTAACTTCTTGAGCTAATAGACAAACATTTTGAAGACCAATGGTATTAAAGAGGTACAAAAAAGACTTATTTTGTAAAGATAACTTATACTTGGCTTAGAGATTTGAGATCTAACCCTCTATCAATTTCAAATCTTGATTGGGTCCGGAAGTTGCAAGTAATTGAGAAAGTTGGATTTTTTCATTTGGCTTATTAGTCATGGATATTTGCCTACTAATGCTTTGCATCATTGTCGTGAGTTTATTTCCTTAAGCTCTTATTCTAGGTGTTCTCATGAACTTGAAGATATTAATAATTTTTTTAGAGATTGTTCTTATTCTAAAGTTTAGTTTCACTTGGGAACGTCATTTGTCTATTGTAATTTTCATGGCCTTACTACCACTTGAATTGCTACCTTATCTTGACATAGAGATTGTATTTCCTATATCTATTTTTTTGTGGCTTTGACATTGGAAAAGTAATATGCTCTTTGATGAAGAGAAATGTAGTATTTATTATGTTTGGAATTTCATTAGTTAGTATAAAGAAGACTTCTATGCTAATTTCAAACAAATTAGCCTTCAAACTCACCTCTTTTTGAAAGATGTCATGAGATCCATCAACTTTTGAGTACTATAAAATTAATATGAATAATAATTGTAGTATGGATCATATAAGTTGTGGTGATGTTATATGAAACTATAGTGTTAAGTGGCTAATATGGTTTACTTCTTTTGATGATTATAGATATGTTCTTTGTGCTTAATTGAAATCAAATTTTTGGGTTTCTTACTTGACCATATTAAAAAGTTATAAGGTGTTTTTGTAATTTGATTATTTAGAAGCAATGAACCTTGTTCTAAAGAATCAATATTTGTTTTTCTTAAAGTGTGTTTTATTACGTAGGATCTCATTCAAAGCTTATCTCATGTACTCATATGTCATATTGTTCGTCAGGTTAATTTAGTAACTGACAAACTAACACATTTGATACTTTTATATGAAGATTTCTTTCGTCCTATAAATAATTCTCCAGATGCAATTTCTAAATTTTTTATTTTTGTATAGTTTACATATTTTATAATTTTTCTTTTCTTTTTCTCTTTTAAAAAAATTAAGATGCACAAATATATTTAATAGTATATAATGAAAATTATCAAAATTTATATGGTTTTAAAATTTATTTAATGAGTATTTATTTATTTATGTTTAAATATAAAATGAGATTCGAATAAATCACATTGGATTTTCTCATGATTTATGTCTTACAACTAAAAAGGAGCTAACTCAAAGAAATTGCATCGAGTGAACTCTTGAAAGAAGTAAAAGATTCTAATTTTAAGAGTTCAATAGACTTAATTAAGTGTGGGATAAATTTTAAAAATATTTGTAGCGATAAACTTTAAAAGTGGTTTTCTTTTATTATTGGAATAAACTTAATTCTTCTAAATTTCAAATATAATTTTAAACATGTTAACTGTTTGAATATTTTTTTATATTTTTGAAAACTAATTTATCTAAATCATAAACAAACAAAAGTTTATAGGATCCTCTCTTTTATGAGGATGAAAACGTCAAACGAGAGACCAATGTTAAATTAAAAAAACTTGAAATATGTTTGACTTTAGAGGAGAAAGAAAAGGAAATTATATATTTTTATTTTAATAAATACTTTTACCTTTATGGAATTTTAAAAAAATATAAACATAATATATTAATAATTTATCTTTTATAAGTATTATATTATTCTTTTAATTAATTTTATTTTTCAAAATCTAACTTCCAAACGCATTGAAAATGGGTAGTGTTTTTTACACACGACTTTGTAATCATAGAAGTAATCATGGAAGGAATAAAAGTTTGATCTAAGAAAAAAAAAAGAAGGAATGAAAACCCTAGAATTTTGGCTGCAAAATTGTTCGATGAATTACATGTTTGGCATGTAGCAAGTTTGACGAGGAAAATAATAGTGCATGTTATTTTCCATATGATAAGAATGGACCACGAATAATCTATCCTTTTCGCACTAACGAAGTTTCTCGTTTCTAATTTCTAAGCGCGTGTTGTTGACAACACATGACACCTTGTCATGTCAGTAGTCTTATTTTTGTTTTTATTTTAGTATCCACTTTCTTTTCCTTTTCCTTTTCCTTTTATTTTTTCTTCCATTAGAAAACAAATATTTTATGGACACTTTAAAATCATAACGCCCTGCATGATTATATTTGAAGATCTAAATTCCTCTATTCAACATCTTTTTCATGTCAAATTCAAAAATAGTTAATACAGCAAAAATATTACGTTTTTAGTACTTTTTCGATATTTTTTATAAGAAATAAAATAAAATATTTTTTATTTTTATTATAAAAAATAAATAATAAATTCAAGAAATATTAATTATTGAATTTTTTATATTTTTTTATTAATGTTATTAATTATATAAATTACTAATTATAATATTTAATATTATAAGTATTTTTAGAATAAAATTTATATTTATAAAAAATATAAAAAATTTAATTATTTTTTTAATTTTAAAAATTCAATCTTTTAATTTTTATAAAAAGTAACGGAGATAGTACTATATTTAATATTGATGTTTCAAAAGTAGCTTTACTTAATTATTTTTAAATTATAGAAGAAAAATCTTGGGACAGTGTTGTCAAGTTCGAACCTCAAATTACCTTTGTATCCAAACACCTTAGCCAGTACTACGACCTTGAAGACCATAATGCTCAATGTTGTTGCATGGAGGGGTAACTTTGGTTGCAAATGTTGCTTATGCTGGCTACGGACTTAAAGGGTATTTTAAGAATAAAATATTACAAAAAATATTAACAAGGATGTAAAAAATAAATAAATACAAAAAGCAATATTCTTATAAAGCTAGGATATATGCATGCATCACTTACGTAATATTCTAATAAAAGTTATAATTTTTGTTTGAAGAATATTAAAGAAAAAAAGAATACATGCATTCCAAAGTCAAAATTACTATTTCTTTTTTTAACTTCAGAATAATTATAACTATTTTAAGCAGTTAACACTATTAAAAAAAATTATAAGCATATTTTTAAAATATTATAACAAGTCACGGGAAAATATAACATGATTTCTTTTGCCTGATGAAAAAGTTCAATTTATCGTTTGAACCCTTCAAGTTAAATTGCAAGTTTAATTTTGTGATTCATTCCACCTACCTCCCTTTAGTCATGTAAACTTCAAATGCCGAGTGCATACGAGGCATCCCACAATGAGGTACGCCACCATATAGTGTAATGTTCTGACATTAGGATAAACATTTATCAATAATCGAATTATTTTTAAATCTACTATCCTTAATGAAAAAAAAAACTTTACATCATAATCAAAGCATTAAAACACTTATAATTAAGGTTAGCCTCTGAGTAAGACTACTGAAAGTCCTTGATTTATACCTAATCTCAAAATATTGCTAATTTTTTTTTTCTAAAAAGTTTTGAAACAAAATTACCAATTAGTCGATTGATATTATAAGAAATAAAAGTTATTTTGTAAAGGATATCTCTCATCTTTTTATAACTCATTCTCTCCTAATCAACAACTACCATATTTATTTTACTAATTAACTTTTTCTGAAATTATTTAACACTGTACACATATAACGACCAAACCTACCAAATATCCCACTGGCACAAATATAAATTACTCATTGCCCTTTATGTTTTTTTATCTCTCTAAATTTTAATATTTTCAAAATTGGAAATTATAAAATATTATGAGTGAAAAAGATACAACAACTAATATACTAAATTACATAAAAATGCTTTATTCTTTTCTAAATATCCATATTACTCATACAATAATGTCAGCAAGTCCAGCAACCATTGCTTCAATAAAAAAATTCTTCAAAATTGAAATAATATTTTACCTAAAATTAACAATGTATTAACAAAAATTAGATAAATTAATTTTATTACCAATTTAAAAAGTATTAAATAAAATTAAGATAATTTAATAAATTATTTTAATGACACAAACATATGATCACTATAGTGTAGACAGTTTTACAATGACAGTGAATCAAAATTGTCTAACAATTGTGAAAATAGGATGTATAAATAGAATTACTTTTCCCCCACTTTGAATAGTACAAGCAATGAGGTAGTGGTAAAGGGTTTCAATGATTTGCGAGGGACATGTTCAAATCATAGTGCTACCACTGTAACAAAGAACAACTTTCATCAGCTATCCAATCAAAGGTAAAGTAACAGGAACGGTGACCAACTATAGATTTGGCTGCAAGTCCAAATAGAAGGTAATAAATGCATATCATTGTCATATTTGGCACATCAAATTAGATCATTTATTATTAATTCAACAATGAAATAACAACAACCAGGTTCAAAATTCTAAATAATGAGGCTCCCAGTCCCACCATCCATTACAGGTCAAATGTTGAAACAAGTCTTCAAAAGCAAATGTAAGGAGACCTTTGCAGCATATTAGCCACATGAACCTTCTCAAACTTTTGCTTTTGGAACAGCTCAAATCACAACACGCCATCTGGTGTGCAACGAGTATTCCTCAAAAGTAAATAATCCATAATTCTTAGGAGGACCAAAGAAGGCAAGGTTCATTAGGTTCTGTTTACAAGATGAAAATACACAAGAAAACATCTTTAGTTAAGTAAACTATAAAAAGGATGGAAGTAGAAACCTCATAATAAGTAACAGAAAGCAAAGGTTTTGGTCATATTATATGCTAAATTTATCCTCAACATTATATTGGATCATGTTCATCTGACAACCCTCAAGTTAAATATCAAAGAAAAGACTTCCTAAATGGGAGAATAACATATATAGTCTACTTTCATACCAGGATATTCAGCAACCATGTTTTCCCCAACTTAACTCACAGCTTGAACATTTACTTTAGATCTTGAACCCTGCCTATTGGGCACACCCTGTTCAATTATCAGACTGAAGTTAATTCAAAATGCATCGAACAATAACAACGAAAAGAACAAAGAAATTGGGTAATTGTGGTGGTACCTGAGCTACTCAAAAGTCAGGCTAATTCACAAAGCTCTAGTGAGATGCACGTGTACCATCTTGGTTAGTCATGCAGGTTTCCAACAAGAAATGGCATAGACGATTCGCCCTTTCCAACCTTGCAACAACCACTGGCTATCTTCATCAATTACAAAATCTTTGTGGTAGCTAGACCTTACTTTCTCTATTGCCCTCTTTACTATCTCATGATCAAAAGGTTGTTGCAAAAATCCTGCCCGCAGAATTCGAACTTGCCATTGTCTATATGTCTCTGGCCTCTCTACTCTCTCGCAGCCTTCACAAGCTATAACATTCAATGCTTCCCTTCCAAATATCTCTTTCTCAATTAGCCTCCTTTCCCAGTCCTCACGAGGCACAATAGTTTCAAGCATGTCAAAAAGTGAAGAGTAGTGAAACAGTGCTTCCCTGAATCGAGTAACAAAGAAAGGGGCGTTAAAGCCGCCGTTAGTAATGCCATGAATGAATATATCCGGATTGATCTTCCTTATCAAACTGAGGAATTTATTCCTTGGACTATCCACAACCACAGATTCATCCAGCACGTTTTTACCACGATGAAAACAGGTAACAACAAGGTACTCATCCCTATCAATCTTGAGTTCCTCAAGTTGAATTGTTTCCCATTTTTTGGCTATGCCATTGTACTCAAATGGCACCTTGAAAGATTCAGCATAGGCTGCCAAGCGGCGTCCAGTTTCTATAATTCTCTCAGCAGGCCTGAAACCAGGTTGTGGGAAGTCTATTCCTGTAATTCGAAGTTTAGGGGGTCCTTCAGATCTTAACGAAAGTCTTTGAATAAAAGTGGGCCACTGGAAACCATAAAGGATACCAAAATCTATAACATGGATCCTCATTGAATTTTCTGCACAGCTCTTTATTGTGACATTTGAGATAAAACTAGTCATCTTCCTAAAAGGGCAAGCAGCAAGATATAGATAATAAGCCTTTAGAAAATCAGCAGCTGATGTTCTTTTGCTAACAAGTCCTTTATAAATTTGGCTTCCAGTGCCAGCCAAGCGTGCTTCAAGGCCATCAGCAAAGATACTAGCCAGCCTCTGATTTCCATCTCCATACGTATCCGAGTGGTGCCTGATCTGCTTTAACAACTCATGTGCACTTTTATAGTCATCTGCTGCAACAGCTTGTGCACAAAGAACCAAAAGTGTTCTCAAATCAACCACTTCCCTTTTCCCATTTTGTTTCTTACCACGTCCCTTTCCACCACCGGAAGCTTTTGATTTGCCATTTGACACTACTATCTTGTCATTCTTATTTTGCAAAGCCTCGCGACGAGCCATAAAATGCCTCTTGCCATCCCCTACACTATGAAGCAGGATTATATCAATCATATTCGATCTCAATGTAGGTTCAGAGTAAATCGCAGCTTGCTTACTGCTTCTATTTTCTTCAACATCTCCCTCTTCTCTGTGATGATGCTTCCTTCCTTTGGATCCAACAAGCAAAGACTCCCCCTCATCCTTCTCCACCTTAATTGACAATTCATCAGTCCTCATTTCAGGCTCTAGAGTTGAAAAATTAGCCGTATCCAAATTAGCAAAGAGCCCATTTCCACTCGGAAGAAACTTACTAGCCTCCTCAACACCCTTCTGAAATTGCAAAATGGATTGACTCTCACTGTTCACATCAGGGACCTGGAGAATACTGTGTGGAGATTCCACAGGCCCTTCCACACTACTTATTACACTGTTTGAAGAGCTATAAGATGACTGTGAAATGCTATTGCCTTGCAAATTTTGGTTAGGAACTTCCCCCAAATTTCGCCGCAAAGAATTGTTAGTAAAAATGCTACTGAGATCACCATCATTACAAGGACAGGCACCACAATTTTCAGGTAAGCTGTCATACCCACCCCCATTATTTGGATCAACAGAACTTTGATCCCCTATAGCCGAAAATGGGTACTTTTCACCTATAACCTCATAGAATGATTTCTCAGCAATTTGAAGATCCAAAGAATCTTGAAGCATACAAGTCTTATCTTCCATGTCTTCTTCCATAAGGATCTGACTGATGTAACTTAAAACCGAATCAGAAAATTCACAATCCTCCGGAGAAGGTTCCTCATGAGTCAAAACCGAGGACGAAGGTGTATTAGCTGGTATCATTAGATTGGACTGAAGGTAACCAAATTCCCTACTTTGATCAAAGAAACCATTTTCAAATCTCTGATTCTGCAAAATTGGCAAAGACTGATTCCTCAATCGGATTTCACTAGAAGACCCACTAAACCCAAAAACACGTGGATCCATTCTCATCAAAATTTTACATAAAAGTCCAGACTTTTTAGTCCTAAAACTTCAACAAACACCCCTTCTTTTCACCAAGTCTCTCTCCTTTTTCAACAATAGAAAATCCTTCAAAACCAAAAGAGAACCATCAAAACACAAACCAAACCCACCGAACACGTGTTGTAATGACTCTACAATCTACACTGAAAAGTAAAGTACAGAAGAGAGAAAGAGCAAAACTTCACCAAAACCATCGGTACAAGAGAGAAGAAAGAGAAACACACGTATATAATAATAAGGTAATGATATGAATTAAACGACACCAAGAGGGTGAGTGTCAAACATCAAGCTCAGTGAAAGGAAAAAAAAAAACGACACACAGAGTGAAGCTCATAATGAAAACGAAGAGCAGCAAAAGAAAAGGCATAAAAACAAAGAAGCGAGGTTTGAGGTTGACCCAGAAGAGAGACAAGGTTGTTTACCGTGTTAGTAAGACCCACAAGAACACAAGTCCCAAGAGGAAGTAAATGAGAGAGAGAAAAAGAGAGAGAGCGCGAAAAGGTGATGAGTTGCAGAGTTGTGTAGAAGGGAAAAAAGCGAGAGAGAGAGAGAGAGAGAGAGAGAGAGAGAGAGAGAGAGAGAGAGTGCGTGGTGGGGCCCAGAGGAGGAATCAGAGCCTTAGATTGTGGTGATGAGAGGGTGGAAAGTTGGGGCGCGTGGTGGAAGCTTTGAGGGTTGAAAGCGTATGATGAAGAGACACGTGTTACGCCCCGTGGAGGGAGTCCGATGTTGTTGTCGCTTAGGTTCAGGAACATTTATTTATTCATTATTGTTTTTTTTATTTATTTAAGCGGTATATGTTTGACCTTTTTTTATTTTAGTTTTGTTAACCAGGATTCCTTTTGTCTTGTATATAAGTCATCTTTAGTTAAATTTTATAAATTAATAAAATTTTACATTATTTATCTTTTAGTTTTTAAAATAATATAATATAATATTTTAATTTTAATTTTCATGTATATTTAAGGATATATAACAACAGATTTTTTAGATCCTTGAACACAAGTTAAAAATATATTTAATATTATTAAAGATAATCTCATTATCAAAATTTATTCTTATTGATTCTATTTTAAGTTTCCAACAATTTCATTAACGGGTAAATAAAATACAATAAATATTTTTTAAATAACTCAAAAATAATTTATTAAAGCAGCACTAAAATTTTAAGAAATGTCATAAAAAAATCAAAGAGAATATATTAACAGTATTGATTAAAGAATTAAAATATGATTTTTTATTCAAGATTATGTTAAATGATATTAAAAACTACAGAAAATGCATTAATAATATTATTTAATAAAAAATATTTTTAATTTCTTAATCACTATTTTAAGAAATTAATGCTATAAGAAAAATTTTAAATTATGAAAATATTTTTAAAGAAATATTAATTAATACTTTAAGAACATTGATTAAGAAATAAAAATAATTTTGTTGAAATTCATATATACTCATTTTAATGTATTTTAATATGATTTTTAATTAAAATTTACTATTTACATAAGATTTTAAATTTTAATATTGTGAATATTTTTATTGAGATGTGGTCGATATCAAACAAAAATAAAATAAATGCTATATAACCTTTGTGAGCCTGAGTAGACAACAATAGAAACGAAGTTTTTACTGAAAGATACGCCTCGTGACATAACTTTTATGAAATCTAAAAGTAAATTACAGTGGCAAAATGGATTTTTGAGAGACATACAAACAGTCACCATATTGATTAGATGATTAAAAAAATACTTAAAATGTTATAAATATATTTTTATTATAATTTTTAATATATTATTAATGTAATTTTAAATAAAATTTCATTTATTAATATTTAATTGATACTTTAATAAGATGTTTAAAATAAATATGTTTAGTTATATATTTTGTCTAGTTATATATAGATACTTTTTTCCTCTGAATATGTCAAGTGTATAAATAATAAAACTTAAGTACAAATGCTTTGAATGTTTTTAATGAAAATTTTGTTAAAATGAAAGCTCTATTTTAACAGTCAACATTAATTTTATTATATAAATTATTGAAATAAAATATTAAAATAATAATATTAAAGTGTCATTGTACTATAACTGTTATAATCATTTATTGTTAATAGTTGTAATTATTAATGAAAATTTATATAACCTTTTTCAATTTTTTACCTATATCATGAAAAGATTTTAGATTTCTTTATAACATCGTAACCAAAAGATATATATTACATACAAAATAGTTCTATTATTTTTCATGTTTTGTAATTTATTCTTTGTTCTTTTATTTATTTTTGGAAATATATTAATAGATTCTATATCTCTTAGAATTGAGTGTATGAGTATGACAGAGCAAACTAATCACATCATTAACTTGTTAGAATTTGTTTTCAAGATAATGGTTATACCATGACACAACCATTGAATTTTACCTTCTATTCAAATACAAAATTCTAATTTGATTAGTAAACAATATAAAAAAAGCACCAAAAATAGCAAAATAAATTTGATTTCTAAAATTTTAATAGCACACATTTGTCTTTATTAATTTTTAACTGTGAATATTAGTCTTTTGTTTCATTTTTTTTCAATCATTAACAAAAGTAAGATGAAGTTTGTGGAATGGTATCCTAGAGTATGAGTTAGCAATCAACTTATGGAGTTGGAATTATAATAAATAAAATTAACTATACAAAGAAAAATAAAATTTTAAAATTAAGGCAATATAGTACAACTAATTTAGGTTGTAAATAGCAAAAGAGTTAACTTAAGGTTCAAAGTTGATTTTTGTTCATGAAAATTTAAAGAGAGTTGTTAGTGGTTAAAGTGGAGTATAAAATGTTTCTTCTTATTCTAAGGTACACAAAAACTCAAAAAAAAATTGAAAGTTATATAATTGTGACTTGAAAGCAAAATTGTTCACATCATGAACAAGTGTGAACTCAAGATAAATCATGATTTATGTTTATTTAAGTCAAAGATAAACAGAAACAGATTTTTCAGTAGCATAATAATGTATTAAATAAGTGTAAAAAGAAGATTATCAAAGCTTTGCTAAGAAGGGTGGATGGGATGAAGATAACACAATCTATTTTAAAGAAAGATATTGTATTATTTTAGGTCATTGTTGTCATCTTAGTTTATTTTTTATTTTTATTTTTTTTGTTATTTACTTGTAATCAAATAAGTTATTACTTTAGGGTAGGTTAATGTTCTACTAAGTTGCGTGGAAAGCTTTTATACTTTGGAATGATTTTAGGTACCGTCTTATATAATGAAGTTTTTAATGATTATAAATTATAAGTATGTTGTACATAAATATGTTGATGTTAAAGTATATTTTGATATAAAAATTTGTTGCAAATAAATGAGTAGATCATAAATATGTTATTAAAATTTTTTAATAAAAGATTTAGATAACTTATTGATAAGTCTATATTTTGAGGTATTTTTATAACTTATTCATATACTTAATTCATATTTGATGGAGATTTTGCATTGATTTCTTTGTTTATTATTGTAATTTAGCATGAATTGATTACTAATGTATTGCACAACTACTTTGGAAGCAATTGAAGGAAATCTTGATGGAGAGTATGAGCAACTAGCAAGGCCATGCTTAGCAACTAGCAAGATCATGATTAGTAACAAGCATGTCATGCTTAACATTCAGATTAAGAGTGCTTCATGTACATGCTTAACATTCAGCATGAGAATGTTTCGTAGAATAGCATGGGCATGCTTGACAAGTATGCACAGTTATGCGTCGCTTCCTGGTGGTTTAGTTTAATAGATTTTCAAGGGTTTTTGACATTTTTTAGATGCAGTTGGGAGCAGAAATCATTAGTGAAGACAAATAATATATTTTCAAAGTCTAAACAGGTTATTGAAAACACATTTTGGCAATCAGGATAGTTTTCATCTCTTTCCTTTTAGGATTTTTCTAGTTTGTGTTTCTTTTTCAAATAAATATGATTTTCTTTACATTTTTTTTTTTTGCCTATTTTGTTATGTATAGTTAAATTTATAGTTAGGGCTATGGTAGATCATTTACACACTTTATATGATTTTTCTGTTTAATTATAATTATGGTTTCTTTTCAATAGTAGTTTTTGCTCTAAGATATGTATGTTTTTTTATTAGGATTTGATCATTCTTAACATCTCATAGTTAATTGCATGATAAGTGACTATGACACATATAATTAATGAAATTATAAGGTAAACCATGATAGAAAATTAAGTGGGCCAAACTTAATTTCATCTTTCAATTGGTAATTGAATTAACAAGTTCATGGGCTCTTCATGCTTTTCCTCTCTACCTTGCATGACCATTAGAGGTCATAGCTTAGGAAAAAGAATATTAACATTACATGATCATTAAGTAGGAGTAATTGGTGATTATAAGAAAACCTAGATTGAAGTTAAACTAAAAGTAAAAATAAAAAGATTTGAAGATAAAGTCGTATGCCCTAGGTTCATTTGAAATAGTTTTCTTATCATAAAGTTCCTTCATCAAAACTTTTGCTACCTCTAACACCTATTTCAAAATTTCAAGTGGTCATAAACATCGACTTTAGCAAATATCTATTTGATAATGAGATATCAATTGGTCAAAAGTTTAAAGAGAGAGAAAAATAGGGATATTGGAACTTGTTGATTTAGATCTTAATATAGGATTTTAGAATTCTTTCGCATTCTTCGTGGTTAACTTATCATCCACACTGCTCACTGTTTCTACCTTTTTAGCTCTGTGTTTGGAGATACCATGCTGTGGTGGAGATGGATAAGTGCTCAAGGAAGATGATGAAGCAAAAGAAAAGAAAAAGAGAAAGAGAGGTTAAATTTTAAAAATCTTAAAAGTTAAGGACAGAAATGGATTATTTTAAAAAATTATAAAATGACGTCATTTAGTATCTTGAGTGAAGTCTAATATGTCATTTAACATGATAAATTATCATTTTATTTTCACATTTTAACATTTTATTTTACAACAATAACTAAATTAATTTACAATTCTTAATATTAATAGTAACATTTAAAATTAAAATTTAGAAGACTAATTTCAGTGATACTACATATTTTAAGGACAAAAATCAAAAGTTTACTAAAAAAACAATGTAATAAAAGAGAATATGTGTTACAAACTTTAAGAGATGTTTCATATATATTTGGTTTGAATATCTTACTTCTAAGGAATATTAATGTTTCTTTCAACAATACTCCTTTCTAAAAGCATCTTTTTACTTTCTATAATAATTGGTAAATTTTATTTACACTATAAGTTAAATTCATTCTTATTTAAAAAATTATAAAATTAAATTAAAGTTTGAATTAAAAAGATATACAAAATATTTATAGTGCAAGAAATCTATACATGCATGCGTGTGCGAGAGAGAGGCAACAAATTTATATGTGAAGTATTATTTCATTGATATTATATGTCAAACTTGAACATTTACACTACTCAATAATTTTTTATAAAACAAAAAATATTAATCTAATTTTTAAATCATCTTAAATTATATCTCTAATTT